TTATTGTCCATTCTTATTATAATATTATTGTCCATTCTTATTATAATATTATTGTCCATTCTTATTATAATATTATTGTCCATTCTTATTATAATGTTATTGTCCATTCGTCATGCAGATCAAGTTTCCCCCCAGTACCTGCGTGTTTCGTTCACAACGGCACTCACTCGCAAAATGCCTATTACCGCGGGCCATTGTCCGGGCTAGAAAGACCAGTCCCCCGGCAAAAGAACTGGAAATATCGAGAACAAAAAACCAACAGACGTGGCCACCTTGACATCATCAGCAATGTATTTATCGGATAATTGTGCCCGTTACAGGTCTTAACGCCACCCTCTCCCTATCTTCTCTCTCTCTCTTTATCTCTCTCTCTCTTTATCTCTCTCTCTCTCTCTCTCTCTCTCTCTCTTTCTCTCCCTCTCTCTCTCTTTTTCCCTCTGTGTGTATATGTGTCTCTCTCCATCTTTCCCTGCTCTCTCTCTCTTTCTTCCACTCCCTCTCTCTCTGTTTCTCTCTCTCTCTCTATTTCTCTCTCTCTCATTCTCTCTCTCTCCCTGTCTCTCTCTCTCTCTCTTTCTCTCTGTCTCAAAATCCTCTTTCCGCCGCGCCTTTCTCTCTCCGGCTTCCCCATTCGTTCTTTCCTTTATATTGTGGTCATCATATCTGATTGATGACGCCATTTGCGCATGTCTGTGATGTGTAATTGGTCTGGGATGTAGATACAGACCTGCTCACAAAATGGAGAAATACAGTCGGGGTTAGAAACTTCTTCGAGATTGCTTCCATCGCAATATTTATGATATTATGTCTCTCTGTGAGAAGAAAAAAAAAGTAATAGTAATAAAAGAAAATACATAAAAAAAACAATGAGAAAACGCATCCGTTCCCATGACAACGCGAAAACCTGGTGCATACTCCCTCCCTCCAAACACACCAGTGTCTGTGGTGTAGCAATTAGGTGTTTTGCCGCTACATGCAGCTAGAAGACAAAAGACCAGCGTTCAAGTCTTTATTGGGAACTTTTTGTTAACTCTATCAGTACGTCATGTTTTACTATCGTATCCATACAACGTGGGGAAATTTGTGCTACTACTTTGCCCTATTCGTACGTCGTGTTTTACCATCGTATCCATACGACGTGGGGAACTCTGTGCCACATCTTTCCAAAGAGGAAAATTACTCGTTAATCCAATCCGTACGCTTTGCATAGCAGTCTGTCAAAATGATTTTTTGAGGAATACTGAACGTTTTAAAGAGATCTTCGAACAAAAAGTATTCTAAAATGTGAAGAATACAACCCCGGGGGTACAAATGACCCCAGGACGTACAGATAGTATCTTGGTTTGTCCACGACAAACGTGCATCCTTCTGTGGGTGGGATGACCCTAACAAAGTTTAAAGCAGCCCAGTACTTAACTAAAACTAGTCTAAATTGGGTTAATGACGGTGTTAATATTATAATTATTTATTTGTTTATAATTACTTAAGACACTATTCTAAAGAATGACTGAGTGATGCGTAAAATGTAACTGTTCCTCTACCAGATTCTCCCCTCTTTGTGTATTTGTTGCTCGGCATGTTAGTTGAAAGTGTGACAGTGTTTAACGTTTGCGTGCCCTATGAAAAAAATGTTTAGATATATCCCTCTGTTGATGAAACTTCCCTTCGGCTTTTGTCATAATCCACCAGCATTGTACGCAGCATTTTGACAGAGTCAGTTTGTCTTGCTTATGTTCTTTTCCCCTCTTCCTCCCCAATGGTGTGTTTATGGTGTGTTGGTTGTGTGTTATTGGTGTGTTGTGCCATGCACGTGGATTCTGTCTTGGTGAGCAAAGGGCAGACGGGTGAGTAATTCACGTGTGTGCGTTTTTCCCCCACTCTTTGTCTTGGATTTGAGATTTGACGTTCTCATGCATGAACTACCACGTTTCATTTGTATTTATTATTATTCTTACATTTACCTTACGGAGTTAAGTATGAAAACTTTAACAATGTAAAGATAGGTTGCCTGTAGTAAGTTCTGACGTCTGACACAACTGAAAGTGAGAAACACAAATAAAGATTCTTGTATTAAATAAGCCTCTCAGGCAAGTTGATAAAGACATTATTTCATTCTAACTCGAGATCTATTATTATAAGCGTTGTACTTTTCTTTTACATTATGATACTAGTTAGATCCGAAATATAACTATTACTTATATTTTTAACAATGCATAGCCGCCTTGCGGTCAATTTTGTGTGTGAATTGCCAGTTACATAATATGAGATATGAGAACTAGTAGGGCAAGTGAAGTATGTTCAAAAACAAATAAATTGATTAAAAAGAACCCAATCAATCAGCCAGTCAGTTAATTCATTAACAAAAGGACGTATAACCGCCAGAAGAAATTAATTGGCGATTGGTGGCGACAGAGAAGACAAAAAATTGACGCTATCTGCCGAAGGTATTTTTGGCATAATTAATAAATTATAGCGTGCACTTATCATCTCTTTCGGGGCGAAAACACGATACTAATTTATAGTGTTAAGATAAAAATGTGTCTTAATAGGAAAGCAAGGATTCACCCGTTTCCTTTGACAATACCAATCATTGCCGCTCTTAGTCTTATCTAGATTTCCATGGCACGTGTAACACAAATTGGGCAGCTCTGCTTTGACGATATAACTACACTATTCTAGAAGAACAGCTAGATCGTTGCACAGATATTGTTTGGAGAGGCAAAATCTTGTAAATGCATTGGAAAAAAAGAGGGCATCCTTTGTCCAATTGGTTTTATTGTTTGTTAGTTTGTTGGCTTTTTTTTTGGGGGGGGGGAGGGGTTTGTTTGTTTTGGGGGTTTTTCCGGGGGGGGGAGGGGTGCAGGAAGTTTTTGGCTGTTTTTTTTAGTAACTGTCTCAACTCAATAGCAAGTTAAAACGATGTAAGGGGTTGGGTTGGTGGCGGGAGTGGGTTGTGGATGGGTGGGAGTGGGGAATGGGAGAGAGGGTTCAGGGTTCAGATCAGAAGGTGTCGTGCTAAGAATGTTAATGTTTGAGAGTTTAAAAAATCCCCGACACCACTCACTTTAACAGATTGACAAAAACAGTCAAAGAGCTGCACCTGAAAGGAAACGATTCCAAAAAAAGTGAATTCTTTCACACTTAACATTTTACTCACAGACTTTAAAAGTGAGGACGTTTGAATATTTGAAACATGGAGATGGAAGTGGGGTTAAGAGGGGGGGGGGGGCGGCGATGGTTAAAGCAGGAGTGGCAAAAAGTGCGTTTGCTGTTTTACAGGAATGTGTTATGAGAAAAAAATCTTGTGATTCACCTCCATACACTCCCCAACCCCCTGCCCCCCCCCCCTTTTCACAATTCACAGCCACCTTTCAGTGTTCAGAATTCAGTGCAAAGTATCTAAAGAATGTGAGGATGCGGGAATTTGAATTTCGGGGTGCAGGGGTGGGGTGGGAGTGGAGGGTTGATGCTTCAAAGATGCTATAAAGAATGATCTAAAACGTTTTACTTGTAAAGAGATCCTTCACAGGCTGACAAATGCTCGCTCCATTTCCGCTGCTGATCCAAACATGATCTATTGACAAGTGATAGGATTCGTATCCTTCTGGATGATCCCTTTTTCCCTCGTTTCTCAAATGCCACATCTTTCTTATGTGAAGTCAACGGCCGAGTCGCAGTTTTCAGAAAAGTAAGAATATTCCAGCAAAAAAATGTTAGACTCCTTGAAACATCTCCTTGCAGATTTACTGCACAGTAAGTTGTGGCACAGATTATTGAACAATTTCTGAAGTTCGGAATTTTGTGAAACAAAACAAATAAAAACAGTAAATAAATAAATAAACAAAACAATAACCCCCCCCCCAAAAAAAAAAAAAAACAACCTATGAATAAATAATAAAAAATATTTGTAAATTCAAAATTCAAAAACAAATTATAACCCAAAGTTATTCTACATCTTTCTATGCAAGGGAAAAATAAACGTTTCATCCCGAATGAGTTCACACTGCAGCAAATAATTTCTGGAAAAAAATAGACCATCTCTAATTCTTCTGAAACATCTTAAGTACAGTGATAACATAGTTAGAAGGCCATTAACTATAAAAATTGCGGGATAGTATTGTTGGCCGTATGAAAACATTCCTAACCACAACGAAAACGTCTCTGACAAGCGGAGTTTTGAAGTCCTTTCATGTAGGCTTCCTAATATGGAAAACATCGAGGGACAATGTAACGAGGTTTCGAAAATAATATAATAAAGATCTAACAAAGTGTAAAGGTCAATGAACAAAATTAATATTAATATTATAAGAATTAAGGTTTAAGTAGGTTCCCTAATTTCGAAAAATGTGCAAATTCGGTATCCACCGAAACTTGAATATACGCTCTTGGGACAGTGGGGAGTACAAACGCTGCTGAAAATATACGCGCACGGGGATGGAAACGTTAAAATTTAGACATGTGGCAAGTTTAATCTTGCCAATTTGTTTGCTAACCCCACTGTTTGTCTCTAGCACTCACGAATGGAAGTCAAGGAAGGACGTCTATTGTAACGACAGAAGGTGAGTGAAAAATGTGGGGGATCGTGGTGAAATCAGGCGCTCGTCAAAATAAGGAAACCAAAGAAACCGAGATTTTTCTGGTCACTCTGCTATTATTTTGTTCGATTTTTTGTCGTTTTTTAAAATCAGTATTATCTGTTATGCCCATTTAAAAACACATTTATGTATGAATGTTTTAGTTTTAGTAAGTGTTTTACAGCACTTGAAACACAATAAGATCATATAAGTGCCGAATTATGAATGAATTTTACTGTAAAACTTTGATTGAAGGCACAAGAAAATGTAAAGTTGCTGTTTAAAAAACCCCTCAAGCTTTAGAAGTCATTAAACTTTGACGGTCATTTTCTCGCTAATTTTGCTGCAGACACCAGCAGGCGACCCCATCTCATTCAATCGCAAATATCCCAATTTGTATTCCAGACAGCAGATGAGATTTTCTTTCATCAACAGCAAGGCAAATTAACAAGCTTTATCATTATACCAAGAACTCTTTCTGCTAAAAAATATTTGACGAGCGTCTGATTCCACCTTGTCATGACACAAATTGTAAACATACGTGCCACAATAACGTTCTTGATATCTTGAAGACTACAAGGGTAAAAACAATAGAGTCACATGTTAGTGATTTTAAAGAAATAATAGATTTAGAGTTCATTACCTCATTTATTAGAGTGGCAGGACTTACTGCAAAGAAAAGCAACGAACTCACAAACTCCCTTCAGGAGACAGCAGAGAAAGCCAGTCATTGGATCTGGTT